AAACTGAGCTGTTTCACCAAGTGTTCAAATAAGAACTGACTGCACCGGTTGGGTCGCACTAGCACTTTACCATAGGGTGTTGCCGTATTTACTTCGTTTTATTGTATTTATTGTATTTTATATCTTGTATTCGCTGTTCTAAATTGTATGTTGTTTTAAACTGTTGTAAGCCGCCCTGAGCCGCCTCGGCGGGAGGGTGGAGTAGAAATCCAATAAATAAATATAATTAAATAAATAAATAAATAATCTGTGAATTTGTATGCAGTCTGGTATCGGCCCTCTTTGGAGTGGTCAGCATTTGGTTATACCCAAATTCAGTATTTGTAATGCAAATTCTTACCATCTGGTGGGAGAAAAGCTACAAAATTTTGAATGTGAAATTGAGAATGTATGTATTGTGTTATTGAAGAGTTGCATTACCAGCATCTAATAGGAGTACAACTAGCTTCTGTGTTCTGAGAAATCTGTATTAACAGATTAACAAAAGCAGAGACACATCACCCTGCCAACAAAAGTCCTTATGGTCAAAGGGATGGTATTCCCAGTAGTCATGTATGGCTGCAAGAGTTGGACCATAATGAAGGCCGAGCGTCGAAGAATAGATGCTTTCAAATTATGGTGCTGGAGGATACTCTTGACAGTCCCATGGACTGCAAGGAGATCAAATCAGTCAATCCTAAAGGAAATCAACCCTGACAGCAAAGCGGCTGTTTATACACTTGGAGTGGTGAGATAATCCTAGGCGCCACCAGCATTCTCTTCAGATAATTCCAGGTTATTGTCAGTGCTTGCAGATAAAACTTCCAGCTTCTGGACACAAAATAGTCTTGCGTACCGCTCAGTTCTTTTGACTTTCTGCTTCCTTCTTTACAGATTTATACAAGAAAATTTTAGAAACCACTATGACGCCTACTGGGATAGACACTGGCAAATTGTATCCTGTTCTGATGTCGTCGGGTCTTCCCAGAGAAACTCTTGGGCAAATATGGGCCTTAGCCAATCGTACCACGCCTGGGAAGCTTACAAAGGAAGAACTGTATACTGTTCTAGCTATGATCGCAGTAACTCAGGTAGGGAATGGACGAGAGTTCTAGGGCAAAGAGAAAGGAAGAGCATTTATGGTCCCACTTTCTGTTTTTAGTAGGGAGCTGGGGCTCAGAGGGAGGGGATATTCTTTGTATGCAGAAGGTTCCAGGTTCGTTCCTTGGCATCTCAGCTAAAAAAAGGTTCAGGTAGTAGGTGATGTGAAAGACTTCAACCAGAGACCCTGGAGAGCCACTGCTGGGCAATAGAAAATGCTGACCTTGGTAGACCAAGGGTCTGATTGGGTAGAAGTTAGGCTCATGTTGTGTATGAATGCTTGTGCCAGTAATCAGTCCAGGTTACTTCAGAGGCCTGTTGCAGCCCTAATGCTCCTAATCTCTACCAGTGGCAAAGAGATCAGAAGCCAGCCGTGGGATCACATGTGAATTCCTCGCCACTCTGAACCATGGGTAGCCATGTCTGTACCAAATGTATACATTTGTTTATCACATTCTTGTCCCAACTTGCTCCACGGAGCTGAGGGCAGTGTAACCATGTTCTTCCCATTCTCCCTTTATGCTCACAAGAATCCTGTGAGATAGGTTAGGCCAGGAGTCATTTCCTGCAGGAGCGCACAGGAGCGGAGGTCTGGCAGTAAAGAGCCCAGGGGGCGGGCACATGCAACAAGCCCCACCCCCTGCTCCCAGCAGCCCTCAGTCAGAGCAAGAAGCAGCCAGGTAAGCTGCAGAGCTTCCCCCCCCCCCGGCCCCCCGGTCCAAAACAGTTCAGTGGCACCTTTAAGACCATGTCTAAGTGGAGATTTGAACCTCATGCAGCCCATTAGCTGCTGTACCACAGTGGCTGTGTTCTAGTTTAAACCATGAATCTGTTATGACCAGTGTTTGCAGTCTAGCTTTGGACTCCAGTTAGCGGGGACCTGTTTTGGCTTAATTATGGTTAAGGTTGGTGCATTATGAAGGAACAGACTCTCAAGCTTCTCCTTTCTCTTTGGGTTGGTCCCCAGGAGATCGGAAAACCTGCAGCCATCCCAGGTCTCTGTTTGGCACTGCCATCCTTTTTCCTCATCCCTCAGGGATGGTAAAAACCATCTGGGTAGTTCCCATGGCTACCAGCAACTCTGAGAAAAAACCTGCTGAATGGAGTTGCACATCTGGCACTGTGTGTCTGTGTTGCCATTTAGAGGCTCTGCCTAGTTAACATGCCTCGTACTTCGCTGCTGTGAGTTAGCATGGAGGCAGTTTATCACAACTTCACAATTTTGAGCTATTGGGCAAGTTTACCCACTACTTCCTCCCCAATTACCACACTGCAGATAGCAGGACCAAATAGGTGTAGTGTGCTTCTACAGGTCAGGCTTAGAGCATTCAAAATATAAGAAAGTTTAATAAATGAATAAAAATATTACACATAGTCTGTTCAAGCGTTCAGGCTGAGTAAAGGTACAAAGAAAAAGTGAAAACGTGCAGTCCTCTTTACCAACACTCAGTATTTACCCTCAACAATATTTAATTAGGACAGGCTGGTGTTACTTGAAGTTGCTGTAGCAGATCGAAGTAAATTCATCATTTTCTTAAGTCCGATGGCTGAGACTTCTCCCTTGCCAAATACACAAGGTGGCAGTCCCTAGGTAAAAGTTCAGTCCCTCATGGCTTGTGCATTTCTGTGATGCTGCTCCGGATGGGAGAGGAAACAGAAGAAAAAGAGTTGGTTTTTATACCCCGCTTATCTATACCCTAAGGAGTCTCAAAGCAGCTTACTATCACCTTCTTTTCCTCTCCCCACAGCAGGCACGTTGTGAGGTAGGTGAGACTGAAAGAGCTCTGGGAGAACTGTCACTGGCCCAAGGTCATCCAGCAGGCTTCTTGTGGAGGAGGAGCAGGGAATCAAGCCCAGTTCTCCAGATCAGAGTCCACCAGCCTTAGCCACTGTACCATGCTAGCTTCTTCTCTGTCTTCTGAGAAATTATAATCTACCTTGGGGAGTCTATCCCACCTTGGGGTACTTTTGATCTTCCTGCCTCAAGAGGAGAACAATAAGTTCTAACAATTTGGCTGTTTCCCTTCCTGTCCCTTCCAGTAGGCTGTGGGGTGGCAATCCATTCTCCCGCTGCAGCCAGAGCTTGAGCGCCCTGTGCTGGGAAACTTGACGGCTCCTTCCCCCAACACCCCCCTTCCTGCCAGCTCTGAGTTTGCGGCTGGGTTCTTGGGCACACACAGTGTGTAGTCACAGTGATGGAAAGAGGGGGGTGAATTCTGGGGTGGAGATCATAGCAAGGAATAAACCATGTGATTCCGTGGCACGTCCCTCACCTCTGAATCATGGCTAGTGATAGGAAGCATTACGTTTGCACAGACTGGAGTGCCTGTCTGTGTGTGAATGTGTGTGAGAGAGAGGGACACCTGGGAATGCTTGAGATCTGGCCAAAAAATGAATAATTTTTTTTTTTTAAGCAAATTGATGGGAACAGCCCACAGAATCCTATAAACTGCTTGCTCCTCCCTCTTGGAGCAGAGGGGGGAAATCTTGCTCCTGCCCATCAAAACAATTTGACTTGTACAGAGCTGTGCATATTGAGCATAGTCTGGACGTCCAATTAGGTATTACAACCAATTGCATTTAATTTTCTGCCAGTAGATGGGGGGAGTTGCATCATTTCCTCAACAGGAGGAAAAAAGGTGCAAAAAAAGAGATCTTGAATTGCAAAATGATCCGAGCAAAAAGGATTGTTACCCTTTCCTCCTGCTCCAGTCAGTATCCTAACCTTCCTTGGCTGCTTTTCATTTTTTTAAAAAATCATGCAAATAGCTTTTCCCCCCATAAAGTGGTGATTTTTGCTGCTAATAATCAGTGGAATGTTACTTGCAGTGGTGCATAACCCATTTAGCCAAATTATTTTTTCCTGGATCTTAGGTTTTCTCTGCTGCAACCCAGATTTGTATCATATCAATCGGATTTTTATACCCTTGCCCGTCCTTGAAGGAACCCAAGGGCAACATACATAATTCTCCCCTTGGTTTTATTCTCACAACAGCCCTCAGGGAGAGAGAGTGACTAGCCAGTGGTCACCTGCAAAGTGAGCTTTGTGACTGAGCAGGGTCCGGTCCAGACCTCCCGAGTCCTAGTTCGATATTCAAACCACTGACTTAAACTGGCTGTCCGTTTCCAAACAGTATAATGCTTTTCTGTTTGCTTTCCATCCGCTTGCTTTGCAGAGGGGAGTTCCAGCCATGAGTCCTGACGTTTTAAACCAGTTTCCATCTGCCCCTATCCCTACGCTAAGCGGGCTTCCAGTGACGATCCCTGTCACAGTGAGCCAACAGCCGATGATGTCCCCGGGACTGCCAGTCTCCATGGCTCTTAGTATCAGGCCGTCAGTGGTGGGGATGAACTTGGCCGCACCAGTTGGGGGAGCTGCAGCGCAGGTTCCCAGTGGCTTTCTGCAGTCTTTCCCTGCACATCAGGTTAGTGTTGCCTCTAATGTATAACAGATGAGCATTATTCTCAAATCAGGCTTAGGGCAGATTGTAGCTGATTTTAAGTGATCCAACCCAGATGTCAAAAGGATGCTTTAATGTGTCCTATTTAAAAACCTTTCTCTTTTGCAGCCACTTCTAGGATCAGGAGATTTTTGTTGCTGTTGTTTCTGCTCTAGTTCTACTCCCCACAGGAGTGGGGCACACAGTCAATTTGATTGGCACCGTGTTAAGGTGCTTCGGGTTTTGCTGTGTGGTTCAGTGACCCTCAAAGCCCTGTTCATGTGTGGCTCCGTCTGTGTAGAGCTGCAGTTCCCAAACTCTGTGCCACAAGACTTGATGCCACTGATGAATTTTGAGTGCAGTGTTTACCCACACAAAGGCTGCCTGTTGTGTGTCTGCACGATTTCATGCTCTGCTGTTGCCTCCTTTCAGATTTGTCATAGTACTTATTTATGAAGAGTTTCCAGAATTCAGAGGGCTTCACACATGTTGCATTGGATCTAGGAATGTGTGAGTTGAAAAAATGCACCTCACACGATTCCACTTCCATAGCAATAGTCCCAGGGCTGCAGCAGCACACAACACCTCAGTATAACTTTTGACACAACAACGTGCCCATGGAGCAATAAAACATGCCATAAATGTTTTGCATGATTTTTAACATTTAATTTGGTTTTTGAAATTGTATCAGAAGAAATACTGCATGTTATGTCTTGCTCATATGGGAAAGATAGCAGAGATACGATCACTTTCGCTTAGCACAAGCACACTGCAAGGAGTAATTTTAGCATTTCTGTGCACATTAAGTGCAAAAATCTTCCGTGTGACCCAAATTATGATAGGCCAGTACTATTATCCTCATATAATAGACGGAGAACCCAAGGCGGAGGGAATAGTGATAATTTGCATGAGGCTGCCTCTGAGGGCCAGTCTACATGTTATGGCAGACATGGGTCCACCGTCCAACTAGTGGCTGCTGACACCATTTTAGAGGAAAATTTAGCCATTTAAAAGTTGCTGCAAGGCCACATTGGGGCAGCATCAGGTGATTCCCCCCCACACACACACCTCTTTTCAAGTTCCAGTTACAGCCGGCGGGGGGAGCGCTGTTTCAGCGATTTGAAAGGCACAGAGGAAGGAAACTAGATGGATTGTTGCCACCATGCCACAATTTTTAAGTGGCTGAATCCTCCTATACAAGTGGCATTGGTGGCTATGGGTTGGATCCGTATGCACTGTAGCGTGTAGCTTGGCTCTAGCAGTAGGTGCCCTCTTGAAGGGTGGAGCCTCTCCTGGGATGCAGAGCCTTCTCGTGGCTGCTAAACTGCATCTCCTCATTTAACCTAGCAACATATTATTTGGCTTTAATGAAGCCTTTGGTGTGAACTGCATCTAATATAAGAACAGCTGATATGGTTAAAATTCTTCTTGTCCATTTTTCATTTGCTGGTTACATTTTAAGCAGGTCCCGGTCAGGCCCGTTTTCCAGCCCAGCACATTTATTTGTGATGCCACTTCCACCAGGAAACCTGCCCAAGGGAGCTTACAAAATAAAAATACTAAGGCTGCGGTCACACGCAGCATTAGCCACGCAAGAGATATGGAAGACAGGCGGAGTTTCCGGGCGCGATCTCACCAGCACATCTGGGGAGCGTAGCGCTTCCGTGGCACAACGGAGGCTTCCTCCCGAAAACGCGCAGCAAAAAACTATATTTGGCTTTAATGAAGCCTTTGGTGTGAACTGCATCTAATATAAGAACAGCTGATATGGTTAAAATTCTTCTTGTCCATTTTTCATTTGCTGGTTACATTTTAAGCAGGTCCCGGTCAGGCCTGTTTTCCAGCCCAGCACATTTATTTGTGATGCCACTTCCACCAGGAAACCTGCCCAAGGGAGCTTACAAAATAAAAATACTAAAATCATAAAATTTTAAAAAGTTATTAAAATTAATCTAATTAATACAAATTCCAGATTAATTAAAATCCAGTTTAAAAAAAAAACCCAGGCAACTCCCCCCCCAAAAAGCAACAAACCAAGCAGTTTAAAAGTAACTGTTTTCAGACTAAAAAGCACACTATGAAATGGTGCTACAGGATCAGCCCCTTAAAATGTAAAAGTACCTCCCTGCCTTTTTTTGTGCCTACGGATGTCTTTGGAATTCTGACACAGCATGGTGGGTACAGCTACAAAATGGCTGCCGCAAAAGTGCTGCTGCAGGAGGCAGAGCTGGCCATAAAATGGCTGCCCCAGCTTACCTTCAGTCACACAGTGAAGATCCTTGTGCTGTGGAAATGGGCACTCCCAGTCAAATCTCCAGTGGCCAGTCAGAAGCCTTATTGGGCAAAAACCATGCCCACTTTCTAAAAACCCTCTAGAAAAGGTGTTGATGGGTTCCCAGAGGCACCCATTGTCACTCGTTGGGGATCCCTGGTTTAGAAGAAGAAGAGAAGATTAGATTTATACCCCGCCCTTCATCTGGGAGAACCGGGTTTGATTCCCCACTCCTCCACTTGCACCTGGCTTGATGACCTTGGGCAAGCCGTAGTTCTGATAAGAGCTGTTCTTGAAAAAGAGCAGTTTCTGTCAGAGCTCTCTCAGCCCCGCCAACCTCACAGGGTGTCTGTTGTGGGGAAGGAAGGGAAAGGAGTTTGTAAGCCGCTCTGAGACACCTTTGGGTAGTGAAGGGCGGGGTACAAATCCAATCTCTTCTTCTTCTTCACTACCCGAAGGAGTCTCAGAGCGGCTTACAAACTCCTTTTGCTTCCCCTCCCCACAACAGACACCCTGTGAGGTAGGCAGGGCTGAGGGAGCTTTGAGAGAAACTGTTCTTTCAAGAACAGCTCTTATCAGAACTATGGCTTGTCCAAGGTCATCCAGCAGGTGCAAGTGGAGGAGTGGGGAATCAGACCCAGTTCTCCCAGATTAGAGTCCGCGCACTTAACCACTACACCAAACTGGCTCTCAATATAAACTTTAGCACAGTACACGGTGCTGTCTGCCATTCTTGTGATGTTGTTTGCCCTCCAAAAGAGCACCGAATTGGTCTGATCTTTTTAAAATCTCAGACTTGCCTAGAACTGTTATGACGATGGAGGCTTTTTTCAATGACTCTTGCCTTCCCAAATGAACTCCCCCCAAGTGCGCCTCTGCCTGCCACCACTTCATAGTTCTTCCAGTGAGATGTGAAGGTCTCTGATAGTGTCCGTTGTTCATTTAGATTTGTTTTAGAGAGGCTTCTGTGAGTTTCCCTTTTTTCTTAAGGCAAGTCAACTTTAAACTGTACACCAGCTCAATCAGTCCATCCTCACCAGTACGTTCTTCTTGCTCCATGCTTCCCCATTTGGGGGGTGGGGGGTGGTCCAGGCTGGGCCTTGCCTCCTCTGCAGGTGAGTGGATCTGTAGCCTTGCACCATTCCCTCACCCAGGCAGAGACACCCCAAAACGACTCACCTTTGGAGGCGGCTGACTGTTAGTCTTGGCCCCGTTTAGTTCTCTGGACTTTATCTTTCCATAGAGGAGGTGCGCCTGATTCAGCGACTTTCACAGAAGCTCATTGGGGCAGACTTCTCTGAGTAGATTTTTAATTTCTTACAGTTTGCTGCAGAACTGAAATGCTTCAACTTTTAATATGGGGAAAATGTTCCTTCACTAAGGCTCTATTTAGGGGTGCCCCAGGGGGCTAGGCAGGACTGGAGGGAAGGGGTGCTTGTAAGAGGCTTTGACAGAAGTACCCACTGGATAGCTGAAGCAAGTAGCGGGGGTTCAGTGTTCTAGCCAGTGCTGATGTAGTTTCTTGAGGTCAGTGCCCTTCAGCCGTTCTTAATTTTGAAAGCTTCTTAAGCTTAGAGGAAACAGAGTTCTTTTATGTGCTTCTATATGGCACGGATAAATACAGATTTGCAAATCCTAGCATGCAAATTAATCATACGACAGGGATAAATTGGGCATGCCGATCTTGCCTTGAAGTTGTGAACCAGGCTATAAATGCAATCCCACTTAAGCTGAACCAGCTTCAGCGGGGGGTGCGGAAGGCTTTCTTTACCTGAGCACCATTGGGTCTGTGGCTGGGCCTGGCCCTTGCCAGTGTTTCAGGAGGGAGAAGAGCATCAGTAAAGAAAAAATGTAAATGATGGATTGCCTTGAAGAAAGCTTCATGGTCTCATATAATTTAGGCAGCCAAACCAGAAGATGACGATTTCCAGGATTTCCAAGACGCTTCCAAGTCTGTGGGGCTTGATGACACTTTCACGGATTTCCAAGGGGATGTGTCTGGATCTACCAAGACGACAACAGCACAGCACCAGAGCAGGTAAAAATTAAGGTGTAATTCCTATTTTAGTGTGTGCATATTTGTGTGCTCTTAAAGTGTATTAGGGGATCTAGTGGTAGGACCGGCCTACCTGAGGAACCGCCTTTCCCCGTATGTTCCCCAGAGAGCACTGCGATCAGGATCCCAAAACCGCCTGGACCTCCCTGGCCCTAAGGAAGTCAGGTTGACGGTAACCAGGACGAGGGCTTCTTTGTTTGTAGCTCCGTCCTACTGGAACGAGCTCCCTGCCGAGATCAGTCACAGTTCCGCAGGGCCGTGAAAACAGAACTTTTTAGGCAGGCGTTCCGATAGGACTGACGTCTTACCAGCAGCGCCCTGTGTGAATCCCGATCCAATACGACCTAATGCGGTGGTACCGCTGAATGTGTCCCTAAATTGCACTTTAGTTTTATTGCCATCTAATGAATGTTTTTGGAGCTGTGATGGCTCAAGTGGTTAAGACGCTGAACTGCCGGCTGTGGAAGGTCAGTAGTTCAGCAGTTCGAGACCCGGGTGCCGCATGATGGAGTGAGCTCCCATCTCTACTTCCAGCTCCTGCCAACCTAGCAGTTCGAAAGCAAGAAATTGCAAGTAGATAAATAGGTACCACTTCAGTGGGAAGGTAACAGCGTTCCGTGCACCTTGGTGTTTAGACATGCCGGCCACATGACCACGGAAATTTCTTCGGACAGCGCTGGCTCTTCGGCTTTGAAACGGAGATGAGCACCGCAACCCTAGAGTCGGATTCGACTGGCTTTCGAGCAAGGGAACCTTTACCTTTACCTTTTAATGAATGTTTTATATACTCTGGTTGTGATGTTTTATATTTTATTGTGAATGTATACTGCTTGTCAGTTCTTGGAAGCCGCCCTGAGCCTGCCTAGCGGGGAGGGCGGGGCAAAAGTGAAATAAATAAATAAATAAAATAAAAGTGTGCCCGAATGGTTCTGCTTTACTCTGAGTCACAATTTTAGATTGATAATGGCCAGATTCTGTGCCTGGGCACACTTGTGTGTCATGAGAAGAGAACTCTTCATGTCCTGCTATTAAATAATCGAACCAAAGAACAGAAGAAGAGCTCTGCCGGGTCAGACCAAAACTCTGTTTAGTCCAGCGTCCTGTTTCCAACCGGATGCTCTTGAAAGGCTGGTAAGCAGGACATAAAGACAACAGCTTTTTCCTGTTCCTACCCCCGATCTGCTTATTTTCAGTGACACACCACCAAAGAATTAAATTCAAGTCCAGTAGCACCTTAAGAGACCAGCAAAATTTTGGGGATGTATCCCTTCATCTGGTATCTGATGAGAGGAGCTTTGCCTCTTTTAGGGTATACACTTGGTTGGTCTCTCAGGCGCTGTGGGGCTCAAGTCCAGCTGTTCTCCTGCAGACCCACGTTGCTGCCCTCCTGAAGCTACCGAATCATGTGGCTTCTCATGGCTGATAGCCACTGATTCTCTGTAAATGTGTCTAGCCCCTTTTAAAAACTACCGAAGGCCACCACTATATCAGTGAAACAAATTTAAGACCAACAAAGGTTTATTCAAGGCATGAGCTTTCATGTGCAAGGCCCACTTTTTCAAATATATTGGAATGGTGGGTGAGGCTCTAAACTTATAGACAGGGATTTAACAGCAAATTAACATGTAACATGATGATGTTTAAGTTATGCAAAGTGAAAAACTAAATAAGTTAAGGTTATAAGGTAAACAGTTGTAAAGGAATAAATATGTCAAAATAGCAGATGAATGTCTATAGGTTTTTTTTCTAATTGTGGGAAGTAACAGAATCTTAATTATCTCCTCTCAGGTTAGAGGGC